TGGCTGCCAAATCCAAGATGGCCGCCAAATCCAAGATGGCCGTCGTCAAGCTTATTTAGATATGTATTAGGCACCATTTTCCACAGAAAAGCAAATAAATTCCAAATACTAGATACTTAGATTATTTAACATTATTTTCATGCGTAAAATCTTTTTATAAAAGCAATAAAACCCATTTACAGCTGTTCGTATAAAAAAGGACCGTGAAAGACACTGGAAATGATTTTTATTGCTCAACTAAAATGTGTTTCTTGCGGGCTTTATAATAGTGAGCCAGTGTATCATACCGCAGCTCTTCCTTGACAAAACACATTCCCTTTTTTTCTTTCAGATGGGGCAAAATTTGATATGTTTGCAATAGTCGTAATTCTACTTATAAATCTTGAAGAAATTAAAGTTCACGTCAGATATCATCATCAGCAGCAGCATCAAAATCCTCACAATCCACTCGCGGAGAGTTTAGGCACACAATGCCCTTTCATTGGCCGCACGCTGGAGTGCACTGAAGACCGTTTTTGAAGCAGGTGCAAGATCGTGTATCACATTTGCCACCACAATTACATCTGATGTTTCGCTGGGGCTGCTGGCTCTGACATCGGCACGGGAACAAGGCCTGTTGAGGATCTCGCCCATCCCCACTCCTCAGGAGGAACATCGTTCCCTTTCCATGCTTGTACCTGGAGAAAGTCACTTGTGACTGTGAAATCGGGCGGCGTCTTTCCCGATTCCATGTGGCCTTGAGGTCGTATCACAGCCGCTAACATCATGGAGAAAAAGAAGTGACTCTGACAGCTTAACATCTACTCTGCGCTTGATGGTGCTAGTGCAGACAGTTCGTTTTGCAGCGACTATGTATACATCACTAGCAGCAGGATCTGTGTGGTGAACTAGCAACTGGAAAACATCAGAGTCTTCTGCAACGACAGCTACTGGACTTCCTAAGGCATACGCACAAGCCCTCTGACAAACCTTGTAGTCGCATCTCCTGTGGCGTGCTCAACATGGATTCCAGCTCGACCCATTTCGTCAGCGAGGAGGAATTCCCAAGGAAAGCTTTCTTGGACATCGTCAGGTGCATTTCTTTGGTAACGGACACTGTTGCGCAAACGTCGTTGCTTGATCGACGTCGATGTGCTTCGTCTTTTGCACTGGGGCCATGATATCCATCAAAAATCACCGTGGCATTGGCGTAGCTGCTACTCACATGTCGAACGTACAGAGTGCATATTTCAGCGTACGTGGAATTCTTTGGCCATGCGAACTTGTGAAGCGGCCCTTCTCCGTCGATGATATTCCGCAGGCCTGTAGTGGGGAGTGTCGAAACAACACTTTCAGGGACGAGCTTGACTAAATGGTGAATTAGCTTTGCTTTGTCGCCGGTTCTCATGCGCATGTAGTTGTCAAAAAGAGCGGCCGGTAGAGAGCACAGTTCGTAGCCGAGTAATTCAGAGAGAGGGATGTCTCCGACACCCATGAGACGAAGGCGCTGATACAAGTGTTGGGGGATCCAGCTATACTTGTCCTCCAGAGGCAAGGGTCTTGACTTGATTCTTCTGTGAAAACGAATACGCTGAGACCGTCTCGCCAACCATTGACTGCAGAACTTTAGCTCCGCCGACTTTGCATCATCAGCATTCACGGAGTCGTTGGTAATTAGTCCAGTCGATAAGCTTACAATTTTCGCGGAGGACGTGTTGAATACACTGCACTTGTTGAAAACCTCTACCAGTTTTCTTATCTCAGACATGTCCTCGCTGACGAAATGGGTCGAGCTGGAATCCATGTTGAGCACGCCACAGGAGATGCAGACTACAAGATTTGTCAGAGGGCTTGTGCATATGCCTTATGAAGTCCAGTAGCAGTCGTTGCAGAAGATTCTGATGTTTTCCAGTTGCTAGTTCACCACACAGATCCTGCTGCTAGTGATGTATACATGGTCGCTGCAAAACGAACTGTCTGCGCTAGCACCATCAAGCGCAGAGTGGATGTTAAGCTGTCAGAGTCACTTCCTTTTCTCCATGCTGTTAGCGGCTGTGATACGACCTCAAGGCCACATGGAATCGGGAAAGTGGGTTTCTGAAGAAATATGCTGCCCTGGCAGAAAGTGCTGCAACGTTTATGGCAAGCGAGTCTTCAAAAGTGGCCCTAGAAACAGCTGGCGAAAGGGCCCTACTCATCATGTATGGAAGCCAAGTAGATGATTTGAAAACTGCAAGGCTCCAAAGATTTCAAACGAACGTGGCCACAGCAGCTGGATATGTACCACCAGAGAAGCTTCCGCCGACATCAGACGCCGCCCGATTTCACAGTCACAAGTGTCTTTCTCCAGGTACAGGCATGGAAAGGGAACGATATTCCTCCTGAGGAGTGGGGATGGGCGAGATCCTCAACAGGCCTTGTTCCTGTGCCGATGTCAGAGCCAGCAGCCCCAGCGCAGCTCCTGCGAAACATCAGATGTAATTGTGGTGGCAGATGTGATACACAATATTGCACCTGCTTCAAGAACGGTCTTCAGTGCACTCCAGCGTGCGGCCAATGAAAGGGCATTGCGTATCTAAACTCTCCGCGAGTGGATCGTGAGGATTTTGATGCTGCCGCTGATGATGATATCTGACGTGAACTTTAATTTCTTCGAGATTTATAAGTAGAATTACGAGTGTTGCAAACATATCAAAATTTGCCCCATCTGAAAAAAAAAAGGGAATGTGTTTCGTCAAGGAAGAACTGCGGTATGATACACTGGCTCACTTTTATAAAGCCCGCAAGAAACACATTTTAGTTGAGCAATAAAAATCATTTCCAGTGTCTTTCCCAGTCCTTTTTTATACGAAGAGCTGTCCCCTTGTAAATGGGTTTTATTGCTTTTATTAAAAGATTTTACACATGAAAATAATGTTAAATAATCTAAGTATCTAGTATTCGGAATTTATTTGCATTTCTGTGGAAAATGGTGCCTAATACATATCTAAATAAGCTTGACGGCGGCCATCTTGGATTTGGCGGCCATCTTGGATTTAACAACTTTAAAAAAAATATGATTTGCAAGCTCAGATTTCGATTCAATGCCGGTTTTACATGTATTGATAGGCAATAAACATGCCTAGAGGCTTAACTCCACCAAGTGTAATTGTGTAACTGTTTTATTTTGGTTTTTGTTCAAAAATGGCGGCCATCTTGGATTTGGCGGCCATCTTGGATTTTGGATGGTCGAAATAAAGAGGTTGCCATGGTCGGATTTGGGTGGATTTTTATGTGTGTACTATTTGGACGCATGTAAACAAATTTAAGGTGAATGGGCTTTGTTACAAATTTTGTCGAACCTCGCCTAAAAAAAATGCTTCGTTTACTGGACTATGACTATTACTTCTTATACTTTTTGCATCAGGAATGACTTCACCCATTGCTATGAAAGTTTCTGAGTTTAATTCAAATTTTTAATTTCAATTGGCACCAAAACTTCTTCAGGTCTCCAAATTTTTTTTTACAGTAATATTTACAGTAACCACTAAACTCAAAAGGCAAAAATTGAGAGTTTATCATGTTTTCAATTCCTGAGAGTACTGGCAAATTTATTTTATTTTTTTTAGAAAAGTTTAATTATTGTGCATCTGATGAGTCAAATAATTAGGAAATATTATTACACAAAGTCAAAAGTAATACTTTATATAACAATAGAATTATTTATACAATAGTGAGTGCAACTATATTTAAGATTATAAAATATACTGTGCATCAAGCAGTTTACTCCATTGACCTTACAATATACAATAATGCAAGAAGTAATGTGTCTCATTACAAAATAGGGTTTCCCAAAGCAGTTCGAAAATTCAACTGATTATTAATGTCCTATGCTGTTAATAATTACAGTAATTTGGCAGTTTGATTGCTTGAATTAAAAACAAAAGGTCTAGGACTCAACAGAAAGAAATATTTCTTAAGATCAAATATTAAAGATAGTTTGAAGCATTCATACAATTGAAGGTTTTAGAAAGTTTGATTATCAACTGCATTTACAAAAAGCAATAGCAATTATGTTATATTGCCTGCGAATATATTAAGTTGCAATTATTCTTCTCTAGCTTCTAATACATTTTAATCTTGATGTGATTCCATGGAACTATAAAATAATATATGATATGTTGTATGTATGTATGTAATAAATATACTTAAAATACTCATTAACAATTCATAAACTTTGTGGCAAGTCATCAGTCATGTCAGCCATAATATGTCACGTGGGATGACTTTATATCTGATAAAACACATGTGGCATTATATAATTGTTCATCTTAATTAGCATGATTATACTATGGTTCATCCTAATTAGTATTCTTTTGTAGTCGTATTTTAAGCTATTCAAAACACTCGTTGTCGTGTTTTATCAGATGTATAAAGCTCGGCTGCGCCTCGCGTTATATATCTGATAAAACACTCCTATATTGATATTTTCGAAAAAAAATAATTAAATTCTACCTACCCGTTATTCACAATATGAAGCTCCAACGATCTGGCATTATTTACAACAAGTTGCACACTTGAAAAACCAAAATTGACTGCATAAAAGAGGATTTATTGTCAACTTTGTCCATTTCCGCAATACAAAATATACAAATTATCACGCTCCGTGGGAACGACCAATATGGCCGCCGCACGTAAACTGCGACTGCGATCAGGCTTCAATTTTCGCCTGCCTACAGGGTGGGATGCGCTATCTAGTGTATATGAGATATCTATGGTATGAGGACATTGAATGACTTTATAAATGTTGTTTTGATCAATCGATTAGTTGCTACGTTAGTGCCTATAGTGGGCTGTTATTAAATAAACTCATGAAATACTCCTATATTTATCGAATACTAAAAAGTTCAACGCTTTCATGTATGTCAACAGAAAGAAATAAAACCATCCTTACCCGAATTATTCTAAATATTGTAGATCGTTTAATTTGCATCCATACTAAAAAGCTCGTAAAATCTTGAGAGGAATTGAAGCATGTGTGCGCAATACAAAATATAACTATATTTGCCCGCCCCCCTCATTTAAAAATGTCCCTGAAGCTTAATTATTTCCCCTGGAAAAATGGACAGACAGACAGACAGACAGACAGACAGACAGACAGACAGACAGACAGACAGACAGACAGACAGACAGACAGACAGACAGACAGACAGACACAAGTCGAGATCTCGACAATACATAGGTCGCGCGAAAGACTGGGTCGAAAGGACTCTGGGGAAACCCTAGTACGTCAAGAATAGTGTGCTGCCTCGCTGACGCTCGGCAGCAATAAAACCCATATTGAACCCAACACTACAATGAATGTTTAAAACCCTGTGCTAGCCTGTCTGTTATAAAACAATTCTTTTGTAAGGATTGTGTTTTTTTATAAAATCTCATCGTACTTTATTTAAATCGCATCACCTGAACTTCAGGTTACAGCCAACAGACAAATATAGTTCTATAAACACTTCTCGTGCGACATAATGATAGTAGCCCAGCATGTAGTCTGCCCTCAGAATTATCTAGGTAACATTATTTTATATTATTGATGTCTAAATTCATTTCATATATGCAAATGGCTTGACGCAAACTCGCAAGTCAAAGAATCGCTAAAAGGAAGACGTCTATTTACAGTAATTGCACAATAAATAACAAAATGTTTTCAACGACTGAAACTGCTTGTAGCAGTCTGCTTCAGCCTTCAAGCCCTAAATCAAGGACAGGCTGATCCAATTCGCAAACTTAAACAAATTGTTAAAGACATGCTAGCAGTAAAAGACACCCATGCATGCATTCATACGAGTGACCTCGCGAGTGACGACTCTCTTCGATTAAAATTGATATAAATCCATGGCCACGATTGCTCGCATACGTGAGCAAACAGAAGTCGCATAAACAGATAAATCTTTGGTGAACGCAAACGCAGCATCGATATTCGTGCAAATTGAATCCGAGAGTCCAACAAGAGCCAGATCCACACAGGGCAACAACCGCAACATATAATTATTTAATTCTGCGCAAGCTTTCCATACACGCGGTACACCAGCATGAACATGACCCAGCCAGAAGCTCGGTAAGGTAAAATATTTTCTTCAGAAAAATATATCTTTTAAATCGGTCTAAACTCACGTTAATTAAAGAATTAGAAGCAGAGAAATAATCGATATTCTTTTCTATATGAACAACACTTTCGAAGCACGCAATGACGTCAAAAATGAGGGCGCTGGACAAATCCGAGTCTGCAGTGAAAAGAACAACATGGCGCCCAAATTTGACAAAATCGAAAACTTTGACAAGCAATTTCTCCTTTATTATTTAACAGTTATTCTACGAACTCGAGTCGAATATGAGCTCATAGCCGATTAGGCGCGTATATAGACACAAGGTCTGAATTCACAGACTTTGCTTTTCTGTTATTTTCAATATTTTTCTATTTTGTTTATGCTTTTATCTTCGCTCTTTCGGCCGATTATTTTTTAAAAAATATATATTTTTAACCATTCTAAATTTTAAAAATTCATTTGCTAACCTGTAAACAATTTGTGGGAGTTTTTTCATTGTGTTTTTAATCTTGAAAAAGCTATAAAAAGCGAACAACTTGCCGTTTTCTCGTTTGCAAACGTCGGAAATTCAGTTTGAGCCGCTATTTTGTTTTTCTCTACCAGCAGGATATGAGCTAATATTCTGCTAGTAGAGAACCAATCAGATTGCAGAATACCTCATATCCAGACCTTGTGTATATAATAATATTATATTTAGACCGAAATACTTGAGGAACATTCTAATAAGGGGAAGATCTTTCATATAAACCACACTTGTATTTGACTGGAGTTCCCCTAGACTTTACTTTTAGTTTGTTGTTTTCTTATTTTTTCTAATAATTATTTACGCGAGAGTATCACAGGGCATTAGCACGCGAGTCTTGACCCCCAGACTTGGCACAGGGGGTCCAACTATAAAGAGCTGTGTTATGAATATGAATAAAACATTAATTAAACGTAATATGAATAAAACATCATAACGTAATAAATTTAAATTATTGCACTTACTTGTATAAATCATAAGAGCTTGCATTTACAACGAATAGCTTTGAACAGGGCGCTTATATATGCTCAGAAACATTGATTAGAACCACAGAATAAAGATCAGTAACAGAAGGGCAACTCAGTGGTGCAACGTGTCCTCGTTTTTTTATGCAAAAATATGCAATTTACTGGCCAGAAGGCGGAGCAGCCAGCCAGTACAGCGTGTTTATTGGCCAGAAAATGTCATTGACTGGCTAGGAAAATGGCGGCCAACATGCGTAATGCGACATGCGCGAGGACAAAAACTTCAAAGCTTCCGACGTAAGTTGCCCTTCTATGTGGATCTTTATTCTATGATTAGAACGATTGTTCAAATATGGCGAATAAATTGTCAAAACGAAAATATTACATGACGTTCCAACGAAAATAACAGAATGGATTTCGGGCGCGCGAGCGAAAAGGCTATTAATAGTGAGCTTAAGCAAGTGACGTTTTTGACAACACGAATGGCATGAATAACGTCAGAAGACTGGGTCAAGGGCTGTGATTGGTGAAAAACGTCAACTTTACTTCCGGTCGACGTCCGTGTTGTCAAAAACGTCGCTTGCTTAAGCTCACTAATGTCTTATTATTTATTTTGTGCTAATATCTATTACCCTCGCCTTCCGTTCGCGCCCGCAATCCTTTCTGTTCTTTTTGGTGGAACGTCATGTAATATTTTCGTTTTGTCAATTTTTCGCCATATATGAACAATCGTTCTAATCAATGTTTCTGAGCATATATAAACGCCCTGTTGAAGCTATTCCTTGTAAATGCAAGCTCTTATGATTTATACAAGTAAGTGCAATAATTTAAATTTATTACGTTATGATGTTTTATTCATATTACGTTTAATTAATATGTTTTATTCATATTCATTTAGTTGGACTCCCTGTGGATTTGGCTTCAAGAACAAGATTGGCTGTTTATCTGAAGGTTGCGTTCCAGTTATATTCATTTCACTCGTTGTACCACATGCGCTTGTGAGAGCAAACTCGCGGATATACGGTGGTCATCCTCGTATCTAGATGTGTACCACGCCGAAACATGGATGTCTGTCACGACTGTCAGTTATATATTCAACGTAGATATGTGGTTTTCGTTCTATAGGACCGAGTGTATGTGCAGCAAAATGGTGTAAATAATGTGCTCGGTTTAGGAAAAAAGTTATTCGAAGAATTGGTGAGTGTGTCATTATTATTATCAATATAGAGATATGGTCTAAAAACTTTGCAAATTTGTGATTCTATATTGTACCCCCACCCTCCCGTCTGTGTATACTAAATGGATGCCCAACATTTTGTTTAAGGGACCACCTTAATTGAAATAGTTGTATATCATGTGTTTGGAACAGGCCCATAACTTCTCTTTGTATTGCTTATTATACCTCCGCCAGGTCTCTATGTTTTCATCCGCAGTTATAAGTTGTGTATGTATGTGTGGTTGTCTGTCAGCACTAGCCTCCTCCGCAGGCATCCCACCCGAGGAATCGGGTGATGGGAAATAGTTTGGAAGCTAGAAACTTATTTTTTCAAAACCCATTTCCAGGCTAAAACCCATAGAGAGGCCTGCGGAGGAGGCTATGTCAGCACGATAACCTAATAAAATATCAAACGTATTAATACGAAAATTTGTGAGACTAATGGGCCAATGTGCTAGGACAATAGGAAATGTGGATGAAACTTGGATGAGAAATTGGCAAACGTTTGTCTTGCTTTGCTGCATGGCAGAGTAAACCAAATGCGTAATTAACCTGTTGTATAATGTATGCATGATACATAACTTAATTCCGCTGGCGGAGGTATGCAGTCTTCGAGTGCCTTCTAGTTAAACAAGAAAAACATATATTGGGGTGTTAAATTAAGTATAAGACTACAAACGCCTATATTGCAAGTTCGTGTATATATTCGTCGTTGCTAGCGGTTTAGTTTCAGGCCAGCTCATCCCAACCCCTTTAAAATCGCCAATCACACAGGCTAGAAACCAATACCAGCCGACAATTTCAAAAATATAGTACAAAACATAATCCGAAGATTAGCATCTTGAAACCCAAAATATGAGTCAAACAAGAAAGTGAGTGAGTAAAATTTCGATTTTATTACAAAATCATCATGAGACTAATATTACTCACTCACTTTCTTGTTTGACTCATATTTTGGGTTTCAAGATGCTAATCTTCGGATTATGTTTTGTACACAGGCTAAAGTTCGTGAGGATTCTATCTCAATTGAAAAACTTTTGCACCAGGAAATGAATCAATTTAAATATTAAAATATTTTCTTTTGATCGTTAAACAGGTCGTTGGTCGAGTTCGCTTGCATTATGCAGCGTAAGTATTATGATGCGTGAAATTAAGGTAGCTTACAATGTACAACAGCCGTAGTTGGAATGGCTTTTTTGTGACTTTGTGTGAAAAAGTCAACAGCCTATCACATTTAGGTTTCTTTATTGTGACCGATTTATAACGTTAAATGCAACATCTGTTTTGAAGTTTATTTTGGGACAAATGTTAATTGTTAGCGGTGATACGTTTATTTGCTATTAGTTAACATGCACAACTCAACGAAAACGAATGAATATTCAGTTATGTTAATAAGGATAGCTTAGTTTATTTGTCAATATTACAATTAAACATGCATATATCAAAACATATAGTTATTGTTTAGCAAATGTCTATAAATTGAATAAAAACTATACCAAAGTTCTATACTATACTACTACTACTATAGTCTTTGCCTTTGGGATGTGTTTGACATTCTCTGCATGAATATAGTGAATAGCGATGCAAATTGCACTTTCATCCTTGTCTTTACGGAAATATTAAATGCAAGTATACTTCAATAATTGCTTTATGCCTTTCAACCGTAGTCACGATAGACGAGTTACATGAGACTGCAACCGCTCCGTAATTTTTATCAGTTGTTCTTAATCTTTTATTTTCCGTTTACTGATTTGTGTGTACTGAGTGGGAATATTGAATAATTGTTAGAGGAAGAAAGGTATCTCATCTTAAATAACGAAGTAAACCATGCATTAATTGTTAACCGCTAATCTGTTACTTCAGCGTTTCTATAAATTATTATTCCTTGCAATAACTGGTTGCCAAGCGAACATCCCAACTCCACGTATTGAGGGAGTTTTGTTTCCTAACTTTGTGAGTTGTGACTTTAATGGCCCGGACTTTTTCAACGAATTACACCAATGCTTGCCTGTCAATGTGAACATTTGTTTTGTAGTTTAAGGTGGCTCAATACACTTTTAATTTAACGGAGAATGGGCACGCGTTATTGCTAAATCACGCGTGCGAATATCGCGCGAGGGAATTACGAGGAGTGGAAAATCCGCGCGTGGATTAAATGCCTAAAATTAAAAATTGCCGGGAAATTTAAAAATAAACAAACATGGCATTTAATTGGCATCGTTTCTTCGCAAATTTCCGCAATTTCCGTTTCAACAATACATCAGAAGTGTAGAAATATTATTTAACGAGGAAAAAGCCGTTCAATTGCAGTCATTTTATTAACGAGCGTAGCGGCAGGCACGTTCTAGCGTCAAAAATCGACAGCGATGATCGAGGCGAACGCGTACATTTCTGGCAAGCAACTGGATTTATAGTTACGGCTTTTTGCACCGTATTTTCGCTAAAAAAAATTCAAGCGGGGACAGATGACACGAATGAAGTTTCACGTACTCCATCAACGAACACACTTTGGCAAAACAGAAACGCTAGTGGGAAGTTTGCGAGAAGAAATAAAAAAAAAAACAACTTTCTCGAAAGTAATGCCATTATTGGCAATGCAAAACGAAGATTAAACTTCGATGAAAACGCAAATGAAGATTTATGCCCACCATCAAAAAGAACAACACGCAGTACACAGGTGAGTGTTTAATAAATTACAGGTAATATCATTTGCTTGAAATCAACAATGACAATATTTTTACATTACAGACTTTGAACTAAGGGCAAGGCAAGGATTTTAGTTAAAGCAAATAAATTAATATCAACCATTTCTCCAAAAATTGTAGAGCCAAGTTGAAAATGTCTCCCCACATTCCTCTTGGTTGCCGTATTGTTGATGTACAAGTATTGCAAAAGGGTCTTTCGACTTGCAGTTATTGTTCTAAAGGTTTGTGCTTTTATCAGACTAAGCTGATGTATACTTCCAAAATAAAATTTTCCTTCCATTGATCAACCTAAATCTCCCAGCTGCAGGATTTTTCTTGATATTCCATATTGATGTGCTATTGATTGCATTCCAGCATCTAGATAATATGTTGAAAAATTGGGTTACAGTTACATTTATGTTACATTACAATTTAATATACTTATCTTATTTCAGGCCCATTGTCATTGAACAACATCATAAAGGAAGATATGGTTGGTGTTGCAAGCATCTTTTATATCAAATGCAATCTATGTGGCAAAATCAACAAGGTTAAAACATCTTCTGAACACAGAAGTGGACAACGTGGACGATTAACCTTCAACATTAATTCTAGAGCAGTACTTGGTTCACTTCAAGCTGGTATTGGTAATACCCACCTGAATAACCTATTTGCAACAATGAATGTACCAACGATGAACAACAGGACATTCAAGTCACGAGAACGAGAAGTTGGAAAAGCTGTCGAGGACTTGGCACAAAAAAGCTGCAAAACAAACATTGAAAGGGAAAAGGATATGGCTGAGGAAAACGGGGAAGTTGCAGATGAGAACGGCTTGGTTGGCATACCAGTATCTTATGATATGAGATGGCAGAAGCGGGGTAAAGGACACAATTCAATGACCGGACAGGGAGTAGCAATGGGATTAGGAACAGGTAATGTTTTGGCATATGCAACAAAGTGCAAATCATGTAGAGTGTGCGATCATGCAAAGAAAAAAGGCAAGCAGCCAAGGAGACATGACTGCAGAAAGAATCATGTTGGTTCATCCAAAGCCATGGAACCAGCAGTTGCATGTGAACTGTGGAATTCGGCTCCCAAAGAAAAAGTAAAATTTTTAATTTATGTAGGTGATGATG